TTTTTCTCCTCTCTTTTTTTTTTTTTTTTTTTTTTTTTCTTTTTTCCCTTCCTCCTCCCCCCCCCCCCCCCCCCCCCCCCCCCCCCCACGACCATCACCACCACTTATTCACCAATAACCACCACTAGCTTCATTATCGTCGCCACCTCACCACCATTACCCCCCATCCTCGATCACTAGCACCCTCATCACCATCGTCAATGTTGTCGTTACCTTACCACTACCGTCATTGTGCCATCATCACCAACATTGCTGCCACCTTACCACTATCGTCACTATCTCACCATCACTCTTACTAGCACCACCTTCGCCCTCCCCACCATCACCATCACTGTTGCCACCTATGGCTACCATCATCACTAATAATCGTCGTTACCCACTATAATTATCACTGTTTTTCACCATTACCACTGTCAATCACCACCACTACCATTACTATTCACTCCCACTAGAATCGGTGTTTACTTTCTTTTTCTTTTTTTTTATCTTTGTGATTTGATTTTGAGTGTAAATATAAATATATTTATTATTGATCATTTTTTTTATTACTTCATGCCTACATACACAGAAAATATATATATATATATACTAGATTACGAATCCGGATAAAGCTTACTATAGTTCAACGAGTCTTATTATATGACGAGATTCAAATCCAAGTTAGGAGGCCAATCAACAGGGAAATATTATATCTATTTTATTATATAAAACCCAGCTTAATCCATGGAAAAAAATAATATTTTTTAAAAAAGTCAACGGTTAGGTGAGGACCACCAAGAGATATTTGACTGATTTGAGAGTGGTTAACTAATGCTTTGAGATTCGCGTGTATCTTTCACAAAAACCTAAGTATTCTCTTTGCCATCCGCCGCCGCTGAGCGTTTTTGTATGTGAGGTCAATAGAATTTTCAAAAAACTTCACTCGTCAAATATTTTTTGGATCAAGTCTCTCTTGAAAAATCAAAATATTGATTATAATTAACATTTTTTAAAAATATAAAACAAAATAACAATGTCATCACATAATTAAAATATTTAGTCTAAAAAATTATGACATCATCTAAAAAAACACATATCTAACGATATGTACAATAACAAAAATGACATGTTTCTAACTAACATACCCATTAATTAAAAGTTTAAAAATACGTTAAGTTATATTTACTAATAGTGGTTGCACTCAGTGTATCTCTACAGCAAATACATTGAGACTAAATGATTGGACAGACATCTCTTCCATTAAATATGAAATTAACATCATAATAAATATACATTTAAATCTCTTTATTTACGAGAAATACCGTTATACATAACGTGTCTAAAATTCAAAACAAAAAATATAAAAAAAAAAAAATTAAACAACCAAGACAACAAAGAACACAAACTAAAATACAAATGCTTTCAGATTTTCTAGATGATACCTACGTAAAACAAGATCACATGCAAGTTGAAAAGCGATGAAACTTGAGGCAGAGTTGAAAGACCTAAAAAGTGATCTTTGCTTATTTTTTTAATAAAATATAAATCAAATGAATCACATATATAATCTCTCATTTTTGAATGAAATATAATATGTAATTTTAATCTGTGTGCCTATGATAATATAATTTTGTATACATATACGATGAACAACATATGCGAATTTCCTTTCTATTGAAGTAAAACTTCTTTTGTGTTGAGCTTTGACGCGTGTGGATTGTTGTGTGTGTTTCTTCTGTGTATGTTCTATCCAAAAAAATTATATACATAATAAAAAAATAATAGGGTCGCAATAATCGTTAGACAAGTCATTAAAACAGAGATCATCAAATATATACATTAACACACAGATCGTTAATGTATTTTATTCTCCATAAATACAAATCGTTAGACAAGTACACTAAAATACAGATAATTAATATACCTTATTCTCTATAAACACAGATCGTCATTCAAAATTATTAGAAAATACAACAAAAACCTCAATAACAAACGAAAAAAATAAGAAGAAAGAAACTAACTATATTTGAGATTGAAATCATGTGATGAGTGTAAAATGGGTAATGAAACCAATAACTAACTAATTTCTTAATATTCGCGCCAACACAGGGACTGCATGCAAGTTTTTTCAAAAATTGAAAAACCATTTTTTATACTAAAAAAACGATAAGATTAAAATTATTTTACGACCAAAGGAGGAACCATATCCTAATTAACTATTATATATATATATATTTTCTTTTGGAGGAGGAGGGGTTGGATCGTATTTATAAAATTTTTACAAACTCAGGTCCAAAGATTTGTATATGTCTATATTAGATTAAAAAAAAAAATTATATTGAATCATATGTTTGATAAGTGATATAAATATGTGCGAGATTTATGAAGAATTTATGTCATTCAATTTACTAAAATGTACATTATTATGAGCACAGAAGAATAATTTTTTAGGTAAAATAATTTTTTTGTGTTCAAATCTAATCTCACACTTTTAAAACGCACTCCCCATGAATTATTTCAAACATCCATTTATGGGTTTGAATTCATTATTCACTACGGGCCAGGCCAACATTTATTTACCTGGTAAATCCCAAATCTCAAATCTTCAACTAAACAAGAATTTAAAAGGTGTATTAAACTATTTCCACAAAATCTACTCAAATCCAGTCCTTAAATCCTATCCAAACCCTCGTACCAAACATTGTTACTGATTGAGAAGTCATGTACTCCTTTGCATGCATATGCAACGAAAGGTCTGAATTATATCTACCTACAAAGAGTTTACAACCTTTTGGTGATTCAACAGCGCCTATATATATCAACCTTCAAGCAGCAGGAACAACCGTGGCAGAACCTGTTCCAGCACAAACCCGTTGTATGCGAGAAGCTGACTGAAGAAGAAATGAAAAAAAAAAAAAAAATTCATGGGAGAAGAGAGTCTGGAGTTAAGAAAAAAAATAAGACAAAAAAAATGAAAAAAAAATTCCGATGTTTTGCTCACATTTAAAGGAACTGATTCCGATGAAATCAAAGAAGGTAGATATATGATAAGATTCAAAGAAAATTATCGATATCAAATTGTATCAATAGACATAGATAATAATAGACATGTGTATATTTGTCTTTATTATATATATATATATATATATATATATATATATATATATATATATATATATATATATATAT